TTTATCGTCTAAATATTAGTCTATTCATAATAAAACACTACATCAATTTTCATGTGTCATAATACTTATGTTCTGATAAATGTTCGTATTATTGATACTACGTTTGCGAGATCGGATCAGGATGAAGAAACAGTCTTAAAAATTCATGTCATGTACATCATCAGTATGATGATGTACATGTATTAATTTCTTACTAATGTTGTTCGTGATGATTTTTTGTTTTCCTGTTTTTGATATTCAGAACTGAATTCGATGTCTCTGTTGATATATAAGCTCCTTGACTGAATCGATCTATATCGTCTGCAGTTGTAAGCTTGTTACTTTTTGAACAGTTTGTAGAAGATAAATTGAAGAAATACGGTTCGCTTCATTTGGCGTTAGATAGATATATGTATCTGTCTCCCAATGTTAACGTTGAAACTCGGATCGAGTACCTATCGTTTCAAAAGTCAATACCTTATCCACGAGAGAACATTAATCATTATAAATAATAATAAATGTCATACAAATTTAACAAAGGGTGTATACTGTGACTTAGTGTTTTCAGCGTTGATTTTCGCGTTGAATTCGAGACTCGCTGTGAACATTGGGGGACGAACACAGAGATAATGAGTTCTAAGATGAACGAAACACATGTTTCGAATCCCACTACAAGCTGCTATACAGAAATATAATAAATATATGTCAGCAAGGACACATGAATGTGATTTCAATATTTTTACGGACTTCCAAATGTAAATGTAATCAGTAGCCTGTTAATTTGTTGACTAATCTGAAGTCGTAAAGACGATTCAGAAGAAACTCAGTAGGATTAGCGATAACATACTAGACCAAGACATTTTTTCATGATGAGTTTATTGCATATGCATATTTTCAGTCACTACTTTCATGATTCTGTGTTAACCTTATATCATTCAAATGTAGTAACATTGTAATTTACTTTAGATCTTTTATTTTTACCCACATTCCTAATGTAGGTATTCAACACCATTAACTTCTATCTTTGTTACTTAATGCGCTCAGCTTACTAACTATTTAATAAATGAATTAGTTTCCATAATCGATTTCTGTTGTCGTCTTCACAGTTTGTGGGCTACTTGTAATTGCGTTAAATAAAATTTAGCCTGCCCTGTACTATTCTCTATATTTTGTTCGTGACCTAATCAAGCAGTCTAAATATCCAGTGATTGTATAATTTAGTATCCCTAGGTCATATTGTCACACGGCCAGCGTTATAATTCCACTTTCAGTACCCCTTCATAACACTAAATATTATATATAAATCTCCTGTTAAGTCTAATTCATAGTTATGAGTAACATTAAAACGTCTGAGGTTTAAACTTATTATTCCCATCTGCCGCGACATTGAAGAATTTTACACACCTTTCCCATTTGCACTTTTCATACCTGTCGCCCAATAATATTGATCATTTTAAAAAAAGATATGATCGATTATTATTGTTTTGAAATGGATATAAAAGCCAATAACTTGTACAGTGACCACCTTTTTAATAACAGTCCGCTCTAGCGATCACGCGTTTGTTAGTTTAGATTCGAGTTCAAGCATTGTGACACCGGAATTAATTTGTTTCTCAGCATGCTACTACTACTGTTTACCTACCTTTTCAGTAAAGCGTTTGACGTTAATTCCCTGGTACGGTCGAGAGTGGGGAGAGTCAGCTTCCCCCCTCAAGATGCTCTCACATGGCCGCGCGTATACAGCCACTTCCAGAGAAGTCCTGCTCACTGCCTTCTCGCGGCGGATTGTTGTTTACATAAGTGAGGGAAAGCGAATGTCTGGCACTTAAACTGATTCCAAACCAATGGTGCAAATGGGCTCCAGATCCCGAGGGAACAAATAACGTATGAACCAATCGTTGGTTACCAGTTACGATTGAACTGTGCTTCCTGAAGTTGTTCCACTGCCCTGTGGATTAAATCTCTAGGTCAAATGCTTGGGGAGTGGTCCTCTAAGAAAACCATCTGCTTCGGTTTGGGTTCCCAGGCAGTATCTCAACCCCTACATAGTTCGAATGATTTATGTGGCGCATACATATTTGGTACCTCCTTTTACTAATGTTTATGTGTTTAAATAACTAAATATGATGCATTGAACTACAATGTCGTCTATTTTTTAGTTATAAACTTTTGGTATTTGTCATTTTATGTGTAATTTATATCTGTGTAAACCAATAATTTTAATTATTATCGATAAACTAACAATATGCTTGTTTTCCCTTTCTATCTTATCCGGACACGCAGCATTATTTACATCTGTATACAGATCTCTTAGCAAGTTCTATCAAAGCATTTATAGATGATTTAGATACATGTGAAGATATCTTCTTTTATTGGTTCATTATACAAACATCTAATGGTCAGTCGGTGTTGAGCACCAGTGGCCGTTCATCTACAAACAATTATTCATCGAATCTATATAATTTATCAAATGAATGTAATATTACACCGAAACATTGTTCATTTCATGTAAGTCGATTGAAATCTTTTGTACAACAATTTGACAGAACAAATTATTATCCAATGAAAATTTCTCATATAACAGCTGGTGCCTTATAAAATGTATTAAATATTACTAATACTGCTACTACTAATAATAATAGTAATAGTAGTATTACAGCTCATATGTTATGTATATGAACATTTACTTATATCTCATCCGCTTCTGTTTTTCTCAAATTCAAAATAAAAGTCTTCAGATTATTGTGGATTTCTTTGTTATTTAAACGAAAAGTGAAAAAAATTGACCCTGTTATATGAAACATTTTATTATCATGATGAGGTGTATAGCATTTAAATCTATTCAATATTGTGTAACCTAATAGTTGGGTACAACTGGATAATATGCTAAGCTTTGTTTCTAGTTTTCTCGGTATTATGTAGATTAAATAATATTTTGGTGTAGGTTACTTATATCCATATAAGTAGTATATAACGGTGGTCAGGCATAGAATGTATTTCAATAGAAGATCGATAAGGAAAGAACGGGAACGGAACGCAATTGGTATGAAAAGGCATGAACAATGTAACCTGAAACAATTGACTGATATTTGCAAAAGGAACAGTTAAGTTTGCGACGATGGATTGATATTTTGCAAATTAACTAGTTACTACATGCGGTTCTCAGATTTTAGTGAAACGCTCTGTAATTTCGTGTCGTAGACATTCGATTGTCCTTACTCGTGTTCTTGTTTACTACAATACTACCAAGCTACCTTGATCAAAAATGATAGAGCCATGGATTGTTCAATTGTTAAGATACAATCATTGGTAGTAATTAGTGTTTTAACACCACTGTTTCTGATGTAAATTAAAATGTAGAATTCTTTTCACTAAAATAGTTTTATATCTTACATGATATCGTTAAATGAAGCGGAAATTTATACCTACTCTAAATTTTGATTTATAGTAACTGATGTAATGGATCAACAATATTGTATTCATCAATTTGTTTCGCTTTTATACCCATCAAGCAAGTAAATTCTCATCTAATCATTTGTGTATCACAATTTTAGATTCGTTCGAAATTTATGGAAAGAATTATGCTTTCACTAAATTAATAATCATTCTTTATAGTTCAGTGTGATGGGAAGTGATGAGGTGAGGTATGGAGATGAATTCAACTGTCTTCTAATTCTTACAAAAGTATTTTGTAAGCTAATAAAAGTGTTGGTCATTTAAAACTGACTAGAAAAATGTCGCCAGTTTAGAAATCTCAATTATATGGATATTGAATTCATTTCAACCTCATTGCCTCGAAAAATCCATTGGATTGACAACTAGGAATGATTTTGAAGCAGAATGCATCAAATAAATTTTTTTGAAATGTTATACTTATTAACTAGAAAGAAGAAACTATCGTCTCCACTGTAGTATTACTAGCAGAATCTTAATTTTGTTAATAGTTACATTACTTCTGTGAGTTTTATTGTAAAATGGTAACTGCGCATCATTCTCACCAGCCACCTGATATTAATATAATTGTAGTGAACATGAAATCTCAGCAATATGGATATGTAGAACAATAAATTGCTCTTAACAAAAGTGTTTAAGGTTAGGAGATCGGTGAATCTATCGTATGTGAAACTTCAAAAAGACCATTTATTGATCGTTTATATCTTTAGTAAGTAATAGCAGACTAGAATGAGTGATGTTTCCAATAGATTTTATCGAATCATGAGTAATCTATCTCTTAATCTTTACTGTGTTCATTTATTCGACAAGTTAAGGATAGCCACTATTTGAAACAGGATGTAGACAGGCTCTTATCATTTGTTACTTAAATCTTTACTCATTGATCTAGTTGTTAGGATTCTTTTTTCTAGGTATCTTTTGTACCTGTCTGTGATGTGATGTGCTTGTTGATAAATTCTCCATACATGTTTATCCATTTTATTCATATTCAATACAATCAATTCATGTGTATGTTTGGTTATTTCTGTTTACTAAATAATCCATTGGCAACTACCAGGGTTCATTCTAAACAAACCTGTGAATGTGTATCTTATTAAGTGCACCCCGTTGTGTCAGTTATTCTATTAGTTTATATTAATATGACGTACAACGAACATCCGATCATTTTCACTATCGATTCCACTTGTCCGATTACTTACTAGTCAAGAAATTATGATTTCCGTAATAAGACGTGTTTATTTACTTATTTCAGATATCATTCTCTGTCATTCAGTTGTTTAAATCTCTCTAGTAATAATTGATATAGATGACTGAAAGTGTTTCACTTCGATCTAATGAGTAACAAGAAGGTTGTAGCTTAAAAAGTTCTATTTTTTTAATTGTTACAACTAAAGTATATTTAATATTAACCAACTTAGCCGTAAACCCAGTTGATTTTCTCTAATGTCTAAATATTTCTCTTCATATTTAACTAGGAAAGCATCTAACTAATTCGATTACCTTCTACTTACTTCATTCGAATAGTGTAAATTCAGTAAAATAAGTCTACTAGGAAAATACTAATTTATTTCATTATCAAATTTGATTAATTTATTTTATTATTATTGTTATTATAAAGTATGCTTTTCATGATAATAATCATTGGCAAAAAATGGCATCATGTTTCCTACTGTTCTCCACTGTTCAATTCAATCTCTTGAAACCGATTCATTAAATGCTTATCAAATAAGTGCGATGGTACATTAGGTAAACCATAATCCCATCCATATCGTTCACGTGCTTCAGCTAACTTAGCTAATCTTTCCTCACGATTTAGTTTAGGTAGCCATGGATAACGAGGGCATATACGAATATCTTGTCTATTTATAGTTTTCTCTAAAGAATATGTATGTTTAATTAAATAAGATAAATCAAAATGTTTCTGCATTAAATTTGGATATAAACCAGGTAAATTATTTGGTGGAGTGAATTTTCTAGTAGGAGAAACTGAACGTTTACTTGAACTAGTCGATCCAGCTGTAGTTGGTCTCTTGAAAAAGATTATGGAATAAAAGTTAAAATATATCAGAGATAAGTAATATGTTTACAACAATTGGTAGATGATAATAGACTATGTAAGTATCATTCAGTAAAAAGAAATATATTTCTAGAAGAAGATAGTCAGTTTTATACATTCTATTCTTTAGATACAATTGAAATTTGTTAGCATCAATCGTATGTGGTCAAGTTATTTAGCTAAATTACATATAATATTTATGCTGTATTGTTTCTAGGAGACTGGCAGCTAATTCTCCATTCTTGTTGACACCTATCTGTAAGATACATTTACAAAGTTTGATAAACTTTTGTCAGAGACTCAAGAGTTATGTAGTTAATTTTGAATGTTAGGTAATTTTGACGCAGTTCAGCTTCAATCATCTATATTAATGATTTAACTGTGGATAAGTTTTTGTTGATCACTGTTGCAATTCACTAGTATGATAGCTGATAAAATTTTCTTGATGGAATTTAATCAGTTACTGCTAGAACTGTATGTAAATAACATGTGAAAAAGTATTCTTATAAGGTCTTGAAATATTAATTAATCGTTATGAATGAATCGTGACCTTCATTGTCGAAAGAGACAAAATATAGCAGATTGACTTATGTGGTGCTACATAGAAGGCCAGTTTATTTATCAGATTGATCAAGTTGTTTCGTATGTAGAAAAAGAAACGATAATTCGAATGAATAGTAATCAACTGTCTACTGCCGGTAATATAAATGGGTACATGAACAATAGTAGTTTTACACGATACACAGATAAAAATCACTAATTTTAGTCCTTACGACTTCAATTCTTCAGTGAATTTAAACAAATAAACAATTTTTAATTTAAATATTGTCACACTTATTGTAAACGCATTCACAGTATATGATTCAATGTACATAGAAACTATATTTGTATTATTAAACTGACCGTAAGTAAATTTTATGCGAACAGAAATGCTTTAAAACGAACTAAATATATTTAAGAAATTCGACTGTGCAACTGCTCATACGAAAACTAAGCGTTATGATGTGAAATTATAGTTTTATAAATTTAATAAATACTGATAACATTGTTTGATTAATAGCTATTCGAAACATGAAATTCTCGTTCTGAACAATATGTACGATTTAGGTTGAAACACTTAATTTAGACAGTTTTTTACAGAGTTGAATTCATGAATCAATCTAGGCTAGATCACCATTGAAAATCTGAAAGCATTAAACAGTCGTTTGGTCCCAGTACAAGACTAATCAGAAGCGCACATCCACGATCCTGTACGCAGGACTCGAACTCAGGACCTTCGATTTCGTTCGCGAACGCTTAATCTCTAGACCACTGAGCCGGCATGCAACTGTGCTAATGTCTAACTTCAATAGATCCATGATCTTGCGCGACCCCTTCATCCATTGTCTGCGGTGGATAACTACCTCACACCCGGCGCGGATCGGACTCCACTGGTCACGAGTTCTTACTAGAACTCCATGAAATTCATCTTGAAGCTAGTCACTAGTAAGCACATGATTATTATCAAAATGGGGGTTTGTGGAGATTCTAGTATTTTCAAAGTTGAATTCATGAGTCAATCTAAGCTAAACCACCACTGACAACTGGAAGCACTGGACGACAATTTCGTTAGCTAGGGGATATTTGATAACTTTAGCTTATGAATTGATGCGTAAAGAATCGTGAGTACAACAGAATTCTCGGGTACTATGTGAATCAATAGACGTTCCAGGTACACTGTATATGCTTTTTCCAACTCACTCAATGACAATAAGCCTTTAAATTACCATAGAAAGTTTGATTCACAGAATGGGATTTTACTATGCAATCTTAACTGGAACAATAATGTGTGACATATTTGCACGGAATTTTCATTTGAACAAGTATTTTCGTAAAGTGAATATTATATTCGTCTGACTACACTTTCAGCAAGTTTATATTTTCACTGTAGACCTCTATACAATAATGCAAAGTGTGAATTGAGATCAGTCGTACTAGCCATTTCGATTGTACTTTTAGAAGTAGGGGGAAATAGATGTTTGTTATCTGTTCTATTTAGTCATTCGAATCTGTTTTTTGTTTTGTATCACCATATAAGTACATAATCAACTTTTTAATTCAATCTAGAATGGGTTTAGTATGAATACTTAAGTTTGTTGTAGCCCTTTGCTATACGAATGGTTTGAAAGTTATTACCTAAAAGAAAGTTTGAACTGATAATCAGAAGTACTTATAAAGTACACAGTACCACCAACTATGTTTATCAAAAATAAATTAGTCTATAATAGATAAACCATAGTTTAATGTGATTTATGAATTTATCTTTAACTGCTAACAGATTTATTTATGTGTGGATGAATTATCCGAAACTTGATTTCAACCTACCGACTAAGTTCTAATACTTAACAGTTTAAAGCGATTAGTCCCTTTTATAAATTTCGATAGAGCAGTGAGAAGACGGAGTTGATCTGAAATATATAAGATGTATTTGCGCTATACATTTCGAACAATCTGGTCACATATAGTTGCCAGGGCTAACTGACACACTAACACAAAATGGTCATCCACTAAAGGTTATAAATAGGTGCGAAAGTCAGTTAACATTAAGACTTCTTGTTGATTCGGTCCCGTAGAAAAAAGTTTATATCTATCTACCATATAGAGATGAATCTAACAGTATGGTTTCAATACAAAGATTGAAAGCAGATATCGAGAAAACCTATTAAGCTGGTTGCAATTGAAAAGTCTAAGCCCATGATTACAAATAGACGTAGACAATACACAAGTGATTACATCACATCCGATTGCATTTACCAATTTACATGTTTGTGCGGACCCACATACATAGGGAGGAGTAATCAAGCAATGCAACCAAGGGCCATGAAACATGTGCCTAGATGACTTCAAAACCAGTTAATGTCAAATGATCCGATCAATGTGGGAAGTAGAGAAACATGTTCATCGATAGCAAAACACATAATTGAAACGGGGCATAGGACTGACATCAATACAGCTTTCAAAGCGTTGTATAGAAGTAGTTAAGTACGAATTCTCAGGTTTATGGAAGTCTTGGCTATTCGTAAATTGAAACTCACCTTATGTGCACAAAGACAATTAGTTATAACCTTGAATTTACCCTGGCCTAGGGTATTCTTTCTACACGATGTTAAAAACATTTTTCTCCTTGTCTACTTGAACTTTCATTTAATTGACCTTTATTACTCTTCATATAAAATGCCCTGACAAATATATATATGTAACCAGATTGTTCGAGATGTATAAAGCAAGTATATCTTATATATTTAAAATCAACTCCGGCTTCTCATTGCTCTATCGAAACTTGAACAGTTATTTTAAGTAAAGATAGCTAGTGGCTAGCAATGGGATCCAAGACGCGCGTTTCGTCCTAATTAGGACTCTTCATCTGGATGTACCTGCATCCCAGAGTGAACATCAAATCTAAGATGTAGGTACATCCAGCTGACGAGTCCTAAATAAGACGATACGTGCGTCCTGGACTCTACTGCTAGCCACTATCCATCTTTGCTTAAAAAGCTTGTGACTTAAGGCTATATCGAAGCTATCCACACAGCATACACATATTCTAACAAGAGACTGATCAATTATAGTCCTAAATAACAATGAGAAGATACAAGTAAAACAACACCAATTGAATTTGAGCAGTTATTGTTTCTTGTTAAAGAGAAAAAAAGGAAAGAAAACATTTTAAATTAACCGAATGTTGAAAATCACCAATTAATAAATCATGAGCTACAAAAAAAATCAAATTAATTCAAACACTTTTACTAACCATAGTGATTATGAAATGTAAGAAAAATAACACAAGGAAACTCAAATTCTTACCATTTTATTTATTATCTCTGTTTTTATATTGTAAACAAGAGATAGGGAAATAAAAGTATTTCAAATATACTTAAAATAACAATAAAATCAATGTCCCCTTGAAAAATGAATGATAAGTTAATATTATTACTATCAGAGGGGAATTTTGTGAAGATTTTGGTCACTTTAATAATTGAATACATTAATCAATTGAAGCTTGATCACCATGGAAAACCTAGAAGCACTGAACGACCGTTATTATTACTATTACTATTAAAAAGAAAGCCTATTACAAATATTGTTGGATTGGATTATTTTACAAAAAAAAATAATGTACTCAAACAAATACTAAGAATTGGAAGGAAGCAGAAATACACTAATCTGTTATAATAAACAATCATTAGACTATATATGGTATGTTGTCTTAAAAATTGGTTTCTGAATGAATAAACCTACATAGTTGATATACTTCAATTGTTTATAACATGCAATCATGTTATTTCTGTGTTAATAGGATACATGGCAACAAGTTATAAAATATTCTTTATATAGGAATTTTAATTCATTAAATGAATTAAACCTATTCTACTTAATAACAGTCTTTGCATTTGGTATCGACTCACATTCAACGGTTTCAATCAAAAAATTTAGTCTTGAAACTAGACATTACTCGAACGAATTGTATTATTGTTTAGTATATCCCTTAATTATTATTCATAGAGTATTTTATTAGAAATCGTAATCCCCCTTGGAAATACAATTGTACATAAGGTAGTTTGTATTGAAATAGTAGAATTCATGGATTGGTTGAAGTCAGACATTAACATCATTGGATGCCGACTCAATGGTCTAAAGGTTAAGCCTTCGCGCGCAAAACTGATAGGTCCTGGGTTCGAATCTCATGGGGAGTGGGATCGTGGATGAGCACTACTGAGGAGTTCTATCCTAGGATGAAACGGCCGTCCAGTGCTTTCAGGTCTTCCATGGTGGTCTAGCTTCAATTGACTCATAAATTCAATTATTAAATAGTAGAATATTTACTTTTTACAGCAAGTTAACAGATGAATGTATCCATATAACAGAAAGTAATTTGAGTAAAAATGAATGTCTGATTTTTCCTACTTAACATATTTGTTTTACGACACCAAGAGTATTTAATAGAAAATTGGTAAATTTTGAAAACAAGGTAATAAATAAATTTGTGGTTTAATGATATATATAGCTATCGTTTTTTTCTTTCAATTCCGTAGCTTGTACGTCAATGAGCATCAAGATTAACAATTACGGTTTATGCTTATCGTTGACTTTTCAATAAACCCACAAATTAAACTGTAGTCATTGACAACAACTATTTCATTCAACTTTAACATATCGTCTAGTTACTTATTCCTTTTATTGGTTGAAAAACCACAGGACTGTATGACGTTATCAAGTCTTAATTATAATCTTGGGACTTATTTTATTGACTTGTCAAAACTCATGAATGTAGAATACATCAATTAAAACTGAAACACCATTGTTGCGAAGAGGTAGAGAGAAGAGTATCATATGTAATGATTAAAATACTGATAAACTATCCAAGAAAGTAGTATATGCAACATTATACTTCTGGACAATATATGGAAAAGTAATCCAGGAGTTACGTTAAATTCATTCTGGGAATTATCAAGTAGATTTGCTTTATTTCGGTGTTGATGCTACAGTGAGGGTTGAACTCACTGCCTTAAACACTGAAGTCTAGTTCATTGTGCTATTGAATCATGATAAACACTAACATCTCCAACAGATACACTTTTTTTATTTTTTAGGGTTCTTACTACATTAATTGAAATCAGTCCGGGTCATCAAGAGCAGCTTTTAAAAACGATCAAATTTTCTGCTTATAAAATGTTATCATAGAATTAAAGTAATCCTGCAAAGACAGTAACAGTACGACAATCGTGTATAAGAGAAATATGACAGAAATCTGTGGATCAGGGTCTTCTGTTTCAAATTTTAGTGATAGATTAGATTGGTACGTAACAACAACTCCATGAATTTTTTTTTACATTGACTCAATTAGGTGTTCACGAAGTATTATATTACCATTATTAATAATATTCAAATAAACTTACTTTGCGTTTTGCACTGCCCTGTTTCTTCTGTTTATCAGCTGCCTCTTGTGCTAATTCCCACTTATCATGTACACGTTCTATTACTCTTGGATCAGACCAATTCAATGCCACTACATATGGGTTTTCTCCTGTAATAAAATACAAATTATCATACAGTCATTTTCTTCCCATATATTTCTTGCCTACTTGGAGAGATCATGTTCTCGATTATGAAGTCATCCATTTAAATCAGGTACAATCTAACTTCCAGAATAGTATGATACATGTATCTATATACTTGTGAAGCACAAAACCAATTTAATAAAATTTGAAAACGTAATCGTGTTTACTGTCGCCACAGTAACGCACAATTTATTATTAAACTCATTTCAGAAATATCTATAAGATACAATGCATAAAATACTGTTTTTATGACATCCAGATCTATTACATTATTTTATCTGTTAATGACAAATACTTATCTCCAAATATTATAATAATTCCCTATTGATATACTATCGATAAAATAAATGCTTTTTGATTTATTGGTGATAAACGTGAACCACATAGCAACAAAATCATCTATTACATCTGCTCTCAGTAATGCACCTTCTGTCAAAGGTGTTGCAAACAGCATTGCTTAATTCAGTTATGACCCAGAGTCAAATGTTACATTTGACACATGGTTCAGTTGGCATGAGGATCTCTTCAAATGTGATTTTGCCGAGCATAATGATGCATGGAAAGTTCGACACATACTTCGAAAATTGGGTCCAGTTGAGTTGAACAAATACTGTAACTTAACACTATCTCAAAATTCATACGACCGCTCTTTCAATTATACCATACAGTCATTAAGCCAAAAGTTTATTGACAACTCATTATTAAATCATCGATACAGATTTTTGAAACCAGTAATGTACGAAACTGATGATTTCCTAGTTCATGTTCATATTGTCAACCATGAATGTGAACGATTCCGATTAATGTCGCTGACAGCAGACCATTTCAAAGCTTTAATTTTCACTTGTAGCCTACAGTGATAAAAAATTACAGATAATAGAACACGGCTATTGAGTCGTTTGGATTAAGGTCCTAGCGTGTCACTAAATGACATGGCAAATAAGTACCAAATCATAATCAATCATTACTATAGGGCATGAATGTATCCTGTTTGCTACCTTTTGTATATTCTACACACATCCAAAAGTATTTGAAAGTTCTCCTATTGTAAAACATTATCTTAGGTTTGGTGTTTTACACTTCATTTAATCGCCGGCCCATTAGTTATATACATTGCAATTATTGTATTAAGGCTCTCCGCAAATCTTATGATCGCTTCAGAAGTGTTTAACGAAATTAAGATCGAAAAATACACTTAAAATCTGCATGTTAACTGTTCTAATTTGAATCCAGTCTAAAGCTTACAATTAAAGTTGTTTCTCATCAGTTAATAAAACAATTTACTAATTAAAATAAAAATATATCCCGTTAACAGTTTGTCTCACCTTTACGTGTTTCTACAAATAATTTGGATCCTTTTGATAAAAAGTAATCGACTACATTAAGTCTTGAACATTCAATAGCACGAAATAATGGTGTTGCACCATTTAATGCTTTTGCTTCAATTAATGCACCATTATTTAATAATAATTCAACCATATCAATCATTCCTGAATGAGCTGCATGATGTAATGGTGTCCAACGGAAATTATCACGTGCATTAACATTTGCTCTACAACAGATTCATGAAATTATAGTATTTACGGAAAAACGAAGATACTGGTCTCAAAATTAAGGACAACGTTTAATTTTGTTTATACTTAAAACTAGATTTTTGTCAGTTTCAAAGTAGTCTACAATAAGCAGTACTATTATTATCTCAGTTAAATGAAGTATCAGTGATAAGCCAATAAATGATAGCTAAATCACAAACTAATTTTAACTATACCACCATTGGAAATCTGTAATTTTCACGAAACGTTCTGTAGTTATAATAATTATGTACTCCTTGTGAATAGCTTCAGGTTGCAACTCCTGAAGTTCTAGCGAGAAGCCGTGACCAGTAGCGTTCAAGAATGTCTGGTGTGATCGGCGTTGAGTATGTTCGCAATCAAATACTGGCACAGTGATTTGAAGATTTGTAATTTACGCTAGAGATAGGAAGTCCTAGGTTTGATTTGTGTATGTCCACTGTTGTACAGTTCTATACTAAGCCATCCAGAGCTTCCGAGCATATTGATCTATCTACTGATTTTTATTTTCTATGATTTCTTTGTATATTAAATCTTTATAATGTCTAATTGTGCTGACAGATAGTGTTTTTACTGATAAACATAATAAATTTAATATAATAAATACATTATATATTATTTAGTAACTATGATTAATAGTAATTCATTGAAACATTCTAAGTATGAAACTTTCAATTGTCCATTGTTGCTGGTGCTTTATTGAATATCAATTATGATAAATTTAGTGAAGTAAATCAAGTCATTTGTTTGACTTATTAGTATTAGCTTATTGATGTCATTTATTTGGTAATTGAATAAACATAACAATGTAATGAACTTCACTTGGTATTGTTTACTTGAATCTTTCCATTGATGATTAGGACTGAAATTGATCAGTCTCATATTGGCATATGTGCATACTTTACGTATTGCCTCGATATTGCCTTAATTCACAAGCATTATAAGCAAAGATGGATAGTGGCTAGCAACTGTTAATTGATTTCAGAATTATATCACTTTTAGATTACATCAATATTAAGAATTCATAGGTAACAATTAACTTATGAAAATAATTAACTTACCCTAATTTGATAAGTTCAATAGCTGTGTCTAAATTACCATGATGTGCTGCTATCATTAAAGGCGTTTTATAAAATTTATCTCTTGTATCAATGTTATATCCTTCAGATAAAGCTAAACGAATTGAATCTATGATGAAAATAACAATGAAAACAAAGAATCATTTTATAATAATGTAAATTACAATGATGGCGGTGATTATATTATTCTGCCATAAAGTTGGAAAATAAAACTACTTATTAAATAAAAGTTCACCTCTTCAGTATAAACAACCTTAAGGTTTAAATATGTAATTGATCATTTAAAAAAATATTGAAACTTGAATGGTAATCGAATTGTTCACAATGGTGAGATTATAATTTATGGACGACCTTTGAGCGAAGCCAAAGTGATATTGAGTGTCCACCTACTAACTAGGACTAAATGAAGATTATAAACCTGTGTGAGGAATTAGAATTATGATCTACAGTTCATGGTTAAGGTTAGGAATTAGATTTAGGATTTTCGTCACGAACTGGCATCAGCTATAATGCCAAAACGGTATTGTGCCAAATGGATGGATGAATTTCGTGCCAAAATCTCAGACCTGTCATCTTTTACCTGATTGGTTCGTCCATAAACTATAGTCTCGTCGTTCACAATAATACATTTGAAATTATATTTAACTTATACGATAACCTGTTATATCCCGATAAGAATAATGAATGGTAGTTGTTTGGGATTCATTTATGGACCAATATGATACACATATTTTTATTGTGTAATTGTTATGTAACTAATCTGCTTATATTCATGTCCCTCTTATTGTGAGCTTTATTTTGACCTATGAACTATTATAATACGATTTGCCATTCTTGAGTTATGGCCTGTCTATTCAATACTATCTCCCTCATTCACAGCCACATTTGGCTAATTCTTGTACAAATGTTGTTTCCTATTTTATAGTACGTTGTGGTCTGTCTGGTTGATATATAAACCCAGTATGTTTGAAATAAATGATTCATATTGCAGTGGCTGAGATTGATGTTCTGGACTTAACTGGCTGGGTTAGACAGGAAGCGAGATCAATAAGAACTCTAGGCTGCTCGCACGTGTTTCATGCGTCACTGGTCCGATTGATAATTCGCTGCTCTCTTATTGGTGGTATCGTTGCGTTATACAATAAACAGAGCACACAGGTTCACAAGTTATAACATAACCAAAGTTAGATGCTTTAATCTATAGATGTTTCTAATCATTCTAAACTACTTTTTCAAGCGTAAGTAGCAGAGATAAATGTGTACACGATTTGGTATTTTATCTTATTTTGGTGATGAATTGACTATGTTTAGTAAGTCAGTGAGTTTAAAACGTGTTTTAATTAACAATTTTGTGAAGTTTTGGATACTTAATCTTAATAATGGTAAGTATTTAAAGTTTGTTCAAATTTCAACGCATAAAATGTTGATGTAAGAAATTAGTCATACACATTGATCTCACTCCCCATCTATCTACCATTCAGCCGATTTTTCATCTTAGATAAGAGCATAAAGCGACGAATGTCATAATCTGTTAAGTTATTACACAAGTAACAAATTAGGTTTTGAAAATAAAAAAGTGGTCATCAGAAAAGAAAAATAACTAATTTATATAAAGAATAGAAATAATAGGGAATTAAGCAAACACCTTACCCATGTCATTATGTAAAGCTGCAGAATGAAAACTTATATACTGACGTCTTGGAGTATCTATATACCAAACAGAATCATCTTGCAAAGGATGCATAGGTGGATGGTCTGCATCGAAACGATCTAAATAGTAACAGAAACAAATTACTTCTCGGGAAATGTAACACATAAAACAAGCATCAGTTATTCTGATGTATATAAATGGGTTATTAGGTACGAATAACAATCAGTACTCTGGGTGACATGGCTCAGAACCGATAACAATGATGTAGGTGTATACACTCTTTGTCTTCCCTCAAACTATGAGATTAAAATCGCTTCATATCTTTCTTTCTACGAACTAATTTCTTCTTCCTGTACTATGTCTTTATATGCAATCTTTCTTTTATATATTACCATCAATGAATTAACTACTTCTATGAATCCGGTGTTCATCTTGCTGCACTAATGGCAACTTGGACCGATGCATATATGTGCTTGGTCCTACGTTGTAGCTGACTGACTGAGTAATTAACATATAAATATAACTACTAGAAGCTACTTTGTTCATATAGCAATATTTTATCTTATCCAAAAGCATAAAATAATTCTGCATAATGGGATAAGCGTTGTATAATCTTATTTTAATATGTTAACCATTTTTAATATCAGATTAAATTCAATAAATTTTGCGCAGTAAAGGAATATAAATTTAGTGAATATGAAGTTAGAACTTATGAATGTTGGAACCCATCTCAGTGATCTACCACATATCGTTTTCACGATAAGAACTAGGCATCCTACTTTTGATTCCGTACCAAATCATTCGAACCCTTCATTGGAGAGTCCTCATACAGGGTGAAACAGCTACTCATTATTACCTGGGTTTTTTTAAAAATTTTTCTAATACGACGTCAGTTCATGATGGAAACTGGCTTCAGCTATTATTAAATTTTGTCATATTAAGTAACAAAGGAGAACGTTTTAAACATGATTGAGTTGCATCGTTTTTATCAGTACTAAACAGTGATTTTGTTCCGAAAATTATGCATAGAGGACAATTGACAGACTCGTTCGAGGTAAAGACCGGTGTCAGGCAAGGTTGCTTACTCTCACCCTTTCTCTTTCTCCTGGTGATCGACTAGATCATGAAGACGTCAACATCTGAAGGGCAGCACGGAATACAGTGGACATCTAGGATGCAGCTGGACGATCTAGACTTCGCAGATGACCTGGCCCTCCCATCGCAATCGCAACAATAAATGCAGGAGAAAACGACCAGTGTAGCAGCAGCCTCAGCAGCAGTAAGTCTCAATATACACAAAGGGAAAAGCAAGATCCTCCGATACAACACAGCATGCATCAATCCAATCACACTTGACGGAGAAGATTTGGAAGATGTAAAAACCTTTACATATTTGGGCAGCATCATTGATGAACATGGTGGATCTGATGCGGATGTGAAAGCGCGAATCGGTAAGGCAAGAGCAGCATATTTACAACTGAAGAACATCTGGAACTAAAAACGATTGGCAACAAACACCAAGGTCAGGATTTCCAATACAAATGTCAAGACAGTTCTACTGTATGGGGCGGAAAGTTGTGCACTACTAGAACGATCATCCAAAAGATACATGTGTTTATTAACAGTTGTCTACGCAAAATACTTCAGATCCGTTGGCCTGACACTATTAGCAGCAACGTACTGTGGGAGAGAACAAACCAGATCCCAGTGGAGGAAGAAATCAGGAAGAAGCGCTGGAAGTGGATAAGACACACATTGAGGAAAGCACCCAACTGTGTCACAAGACAAGCCCTCACATGGAATCCTCAAGGCCAATGGAGAAGAGGAAGACCAGAGAACACATTACGCCGGGAAATGGAGATAGACATGGGAAAAATGGAAAAGAATTGGATGGAACTAGAGAAGAAGGCTCAGGACAGAGTGGGTTGGAGAATGCTGGTCGGCGGCCTATGCTCCATTAGGAGTAGCAGGGGTAAGTAAGTAAGTTCCGAAAATTTGATGAAATGAAGAATTTGGAAAATGAACCTTTCACGAAAATAATGCATTATATAGTCTTGGAAATTTCAAGCTGAAGCATTTTCTGACACATTTACCTTGGATCGAAATAAGTTACAAGTTGTTTTTAAAAAATGGTCTATTTATTACATTGTCATATGATCATCCATGGAGAGCAGCTATCTAACCATCTGAAAATGTCTTTTCCAAACAATAAATTTTGCTGTTGTTATTGTAAAATAAGATTTAATGAATGAAGATATTAGCGAAACCTATCGACATTGTAATTTTGTTACTATGAGTCTAAAAAGCGTTACTTCAAGGTGAATAACTGAAATATTTAACAGTTTGGTTGATGAAGGCTTCGAAAATTTTCAGACATTGAACACAATTGAAAAAATAGATATTTTTGTTATACCCGACAACAATAATGATTGGTAACTCTTGAGATCCATTTGTGGACCAATACTATACGTATATTTTTATCGTATAATTGTTAATTAACTAAACTGTTCATATTCATATTCCTCTTATTATAAGCTTTATTTTGACCCATAAACTATTATTATACGTCTTACCATTCTTAAGTTATACCCAGTATATTAATTATTACCTCCCTCATTCACAGTTACATTTGGATGATTCTTGCTCAAATGTTGTTTCCTATTTTATGGTACGTTGTGGTCTGTCTGTTTGATATATAGACCGAGTATGTTTGAAATAAACGATTCATATTGCAGAGGCTGAGATTGATGTTCTGGACTTAACTGGCTGGGTTAGACAGGAAGCGAGACCAATAAGGACTATAGGCTGTTCGCACGTGTTTTACGCGTCCTTGGTCCAATCGACAATTCACTGCTCCCTAATTGGCGGTCACAAGTTATAACAATCTTATTATCAAGTCACCTGTTCTTTATCTAAGTGTAATTGAAAGAGATTATGTTTTATGCAATTAAATAAAATACAAACTTGGCTGTAAAACATTTGAGTAGTCACTGTCGCAGCTGAATTAATGTACAGTGTATAAAAATAAAATATATGGTATTAAAAACTTACTTAAATCAAGGGGATGAATCTCCTTAGGAATGTACATTATAGAGGGACCTCCATCTGCACGACGATAAATAGCCTCTGATGGTAGTGTACAAATATTCATAGGTATTTTTCTGCGTTTACCACCTAAGAGAAACAGTAAATAAAAAACAAAACAATATATTTGACAAAACTATTAAATTACATCAGAAAATTTAACTGATATATAATTTCAATAGTCCAGATCATGATTCAGTTGAAGCCAGACCACCATGGAAAACCTGGAAGCACTGGACGGCCGTTTCGTCCTATTGTAGGACTCCTAAGCAGTGCGCATCCACGACCCCGCCTCGCGGGATTCGAACCCACGACCTATCAGTCTAATGGTCTAATGGTGGTCTAGTTTCAATTGACTCATGATCTCAACTATTGATATATAATATTTAAACCACAAGTAATACTTATATTTCCTAATAACTCTGTCATTGATCATAAATTGAACGAAAAGAAAACTAAATTTTTTCTCAATTTAGGATTGTAGAGATTGTTGAATTTTATTGATCAGTTCATGGTTTCAACAAGAATCTCTTCTGAAGCATCGCTAAGAAGTCTTATTACTTAATCAATCTGTTTGGGAAAAAAAGTCCATAATTCAGGTCTACACAGGTTTTTCTTCAAAGAACACAATGTGGATAAATTTTCTAAACTGGTTCCTACTTGACCGTACTAAATTATATTTATTTTAGCTATAAGTAATTACGGTCATAACACCGAAGACAGAGAAATCAAAATAAATTAACTGAAAAGAGTAAAACAATAAGATTTTAGACAGAAAATAAAATCTGATGTTCCTTCTTTGCAGTGATTTATTACATCTTCATGAAGTGAATGAATTAAGTAGTTTAAAATGTAGTATGATATTAGTTAAAGTAGAATTAATCACAGTACTAGGGGTGTATTCATTATTTGCATTTTCCTAAATCATTGGTTTTAAAATTATTTTGAACCCTTCATTAGGATAATTCATTTGTTCTTCTTGAATCATCTACTTTGAGAGTAATTCTTCTTAATACTACTGAAGCTACAACAACAACTACTACTATCGTACCGAACGGACAATTACGTAGGTTAAACCAATTTATTGTAATGAACACTGGATTTTAAAATATAAAAAACAAATAAACACTGGATACACCCTTTCCACATCTTGTTTGAATTATCTCTTACGAACTTCATCGTTCTTTTTATATTTCTTGCCATAAGTAGCTCATAACACACGGCTACTATTACTACAACTAATTTGCTAACCATCTTGATAATTTTATCTGACTGTGTTGATATGGTTCGGGAACATAACGCAATACACATACTTTATACTATTCATATAAAATGAAAACAAATACATAACGCTTAAGAGTACTGATTACTGAATTTCAACTCAAAATTCCTTCTTTAATTAGTTCTTGGAGAAATTATAAGTTTTGAATTTACCGGAAAGCGATAATATTCGACAAAATTATAACAGGTACTATGATTTTTCACACCTTATTTTGTAGTCTATTTGAAATGATTGTTTGAATTGATATTAAATACCTAACTCAGTATTATCGCACTAAATGTATTTGACTTTTTAACAGTTTAATTCATGAGTCAATCTAAGCTAGACAATCATTGAAAACCTGGAAAAACTGGATGGTTGTCTCGTTCTAGTATGGGACTCTTTAACAGTGTGTATTCAAATGTTAAAATACAACGATCTCCACAAATCCCTATACTGATGTTTGTTTTTATTCAATGAACAATATTGATCATTACTGAGAATGCGTTAACGTATAATAGTTACGTTTAAGTACTAAGTGTTTGCCATTTATCAATTACTTCCAATAATATATATACTTGAATTGTATATTTTGAATATCTAAGGTAATTAGTGCTCTAAAAATGACCAATAGAGTCTGGGAATGAATTAGTGCAAAATTATGAAGTTTGTACAATAGAAAATTCCAATTCAGTGCAAACTAAAAGTGAATAGTGCATGAGTGGACTTAAAAATGTCTAAATTATTTATCAAACCTACAATCTTCATGGCAATATTGCATTGTATTTGACAATGAAGTTAGTAAAGTTTTAAGAGAAATTTCATGCAATTGTTCTTGCTCTATTTTAAGAGAAAGCTGCTAAAGTTTTATTGTACTGCGTGCTACTGATGTCGACAGATATAAGTAGTATGCATCACCATTTGATAATGGAATGCCTAGTGGTAGAAGGTTGAGAAAATTAAAGAGGAGAGAACGAGAACAGAGAGAGAATGGTATAGAAACGAAGGAACAATGACATCTGAGACAATTGATGGATGTTTCGTAAATGAAGTATTTACTGTATGAATCTCAAATTTTACCAAGAAATTCTCTAATGTTTTATTAAAACGCTTTTGATTGACCCCACGGGTGTTCTTGTTCGCTACATTATGATTGAAATAATCTTTTTAATATCACTTAGATACATAAGTAAATAATACATCGGGCCTACTAAACATAAAGTATCAATTCGGATGATATGTCAAGTGTTTATGATACAGGCTGAAAGTAAGTAACATGCTTAGTTTCCAGAGTTAGGTCACCTCTCTCATATTCTCAACATTTGGATTATTTTGACTACTGTAAGTATATCACATATGACAAATAAATTTTTTCTTCAGACATTTGAAAGTTAAGCGTAAGTCATATCAGTTGGTTTTATCAACAAATCTAAATATTAGTGTGGCGTTATGGAGATTACTATTAATTACCAACAATGGCCTTACTTGTCTAAAATCTATCTCATCACAAGTAAACTTAAACAAACCATTATATCTAACTAGCTGACATGGAAGTAATGATCAAAGAATCCGTCAAACAGATATATTTACAAGGAATTATACTTTCGAAATAAACCTCAAATTTATTCTTTCCTAACATGAATGAAGAAAATGATGAGGATTATCTATATGTCAATTGAAATTTATGAAAGAACCAGCATATTGATTAATTTAATTGAGATTAAATATAATAATAATAATAATAATTCGTAATTAAGTGTAAGATTTATCTAATATCATCAGTAGGTAATTGTCATACTCTCAACATAAGTGGACCCCACTAATCATAGATTTGATCGAAAACTTTTTGATCCATTCCAATTTTTACAACAATACTCGAACTCGGTATTCATAAGCCAAAGTTCTAGAGGCTTCTGAATCACAGTAAACCTCATGTATTATTAATTGTATAAGTTTGTATTTCCATGTTGTTAATACTGCATTTTGAATTGACAAACAATTAAATGGAATAATTTCAAGTTATCCGTTAAAGAATTTCATACCCTCAAGAGAGCCTGATCAATACAGTCTTCATTGTAAATAATGGAAAAACATATTAACTTATAAAGTTAATACCAGATTGTATTCTTGCAGATAATAGAATTTCAGGTTTTAAATTACGTAATGCACGAAAACAAGGTTTATCTTAGTCTGTCTTTAGAGTTTACATGTATGGTTGACTTCAATCATCAATAAATTACAAAAAAATGTATAATGCGGTACCATTTTGTAATGGTTCAACTTGTTACAGCTTAAATTATAGTGATCCAACACAATAAACGACATGAGGTAAAGAAAATACGTCTGGGAAATAAACCCGAGGCAAATACTTGAAATATGACTTAAATAAAGAAAAGAATGAATGAAACGACATAAACCGGATGCATTAAAAGAATAGCAGAAAACAAAATTTATCACATATTTACCAGGTACGTATAGATGTATCTCACTTTGAGTAACAATCTTTTTGTGAGAACTTGTGATATTATTTTGTTACGCAAACCAAAGTAGGAAAGTAGGGTTCAGTCCCGATCTATTGTATAGTAAACCAAGATGGCGTTACAATCTAACATCGATACAGTAAAAAAAGCATCCAATTAATGAGATGCTGATGGATTGCTATACTTGAAAAAAAAGGAATTATATTAAGGAAAGAAAAAAACCGACTCCGATTCCAAATTACCTTTACCACCTTTTCTTTTTTTCTTTTTACCTTTCTTCTTCTCAAAGGCCGATACTAAGTAATTTTTATTCAAATATTTTTTTCCAGTCAGAAACTCTTCCCAATCAATACAACCATCTGCATTTTTCTCATGTAAAGTAAGTAATTTTTTACTAATTATCTCATTAATTGGTCCATCTAACGAACTAATTACTGATGTGAAATCTTCTATAGGAATTCTTGTGTTTGATGCTTTTCTAGATCTGGAACGGCTTGTACTACGTTTTTTCGATCGTTTTCTCTTTTTACCGGAACTGGTTTTCTTGCTTAATTTATCTGATTCTTGTTGATCAGAAGCATGTACTGCTGTGATTAAACTTTGTTCACTAACTTGAAAATCATTTCTACTGTCTAACTCTCTTGAAACACTTGAATTTTCTTCTTTTTGTTCTTCTAAAGCACTTGATAATCGCTGACTAATTTCAATGAAACGTTCTCTTAAATCATTTGCAAATACAATTGACCAATCGTATAGTCTAATGGCCCAGAATTCTGCATTTTTTAATGTTTTACTGGTTACACGTTCTAGTTTACGTAGTTCTTTGGCACACAATTTTTTACCTTCATCAATAGCAATGTTTCGAGGTAATTTTCCATTTGCATTTTTTACTTTTGCATCACAACCTTTGAAAAATTAATTGAAAACAATCATGTAATAACTGAAAACAGTGAATGTGTAGTATTCAAGCATTATGCAACTCTTCCATAAAGTCAGACCGTTTTGATTATTATCTCGTTCACTTCATTAGTCAAAATCATATATCTACTAGTCCCCAGTTCTCTTATGGAATTTATCTTCTTTATATTAATATTTAGATCATTTTAATGAGATTTTCAACTCAGATAGCTATGAACAACAGTTAATTCAGTCACTTCTATTTCACATCGATTACTATTCATTTATTTGATAGACTATTTGTAGCCTAAGTTCAGTAAATCTTCATTTATGTTCATTATTGTTTCAGTTTAAATATGATTAACTAGTGGATCGTTAAATCCAACATTTTACTATAAACTTAATTATTAATTATTAATATGAGAAGGGGTTTTTGTGGATATTAGAGGAATTTCAATAGTTGAGATCGTGAGTTCATTGAAGCTAGATCATCATGAAAAACCTGGAAGCACTGGATGGCCGTTTTGTCCTTAAGTTTTATTTTAAATCTATAGTATCGTTAAACTGTAAATTGGTTAAACGACCCTATAGTTTTCTACGCTGTTTTCTTAAGGTATTTAAAGCAATAATATTATTATATACTTATTACATTAAATTAAAATAAAATAAAAATCAGAAATATTGTCAATTCACCTCTTTGTCCAAGAAATTTACAACACATTTCATTGACTTTAGCAGCCATATGTAATGGATTATTTCCATCGTTATCAAGCTATTTAAAATTATATTAAAGTGAAATGAATACTGAATCAGTGTTCATTATACAAAAGTAATTAAACTGACATTATTGTTACTATTATTATTATTAGTAGTAGTAGTATTAGTAGGAGGAGGAAGAGGAGGCGGAGGAGGAGTACCAGTACTACTGAAAATGCTAATTAATCATACTTAATATGTAATAACATTCAAAATGAATGTTTTATTGAAACTAATGTTATCATATAATTAGAATTCTCAACTTCTAAAACACAAATAACTTGATATAAATATGATACCATATCTGTGAAATTTAGTAAAATATAAGATCATGAAAACTGGGACACAGAAGGTATATATCTATCTTGATATTATTCATTTAACAGACACATAATCTATTCAATTAACATACTAAGTTATCAGGGTTTTCAGTTGTGCGCAAATAAACAAACGACTAATCCTATCATAATTAGATGTTCAGTGTTTTGAATCAGTCTGATTATGGTAGTTTATGTTTATTCAAGTACTAGTCAATCGCAGATTAGAATTAATTTCCGAACCCCATAATGATTAGGTTTTAGAAACAGATGACGTTATTTCAGCTATTGTCGATTATAGAGATTGATAAACCGATGAAACTGTAACTATCAAATTCCTAATGGAAGTTGAGAGAAAGTCTAAGAAAACTCAAGAGATATTAAGAGTTCTTCATTATGAAAACGAATCGAATAAAATATGCCCTTCTTTATAGACCAAGAAGTTCAGTGAGAACCATGAGTACCACGTAGACGACATTAAGCTTCGAACATTACTGACAACCTATATTGATGCAAACATCAAAAATGTCCATTAAGATTGCCAATTTACTTGCCTAATGATTGATGCTGAGCATAATTTAGGTTATTCGTTTATACGCATAACTTTAGTTAAAATATTGTAAAATTAACTACTAGTGTATAAGCTGTTTTTAAAATAACTTTCAATCACTCGTAGATAAACTATTTTTGATCATGTTACAGTTCAGTTACTTAGAAATAGAACAATGAGATATAAGTGAATCATATTGTTTTGAATCAAATCTTCTAATATACAACAACTAATCAAGACAGTTTATAAATCAAAGATGAGAATAAAATTAAAAACAATATTGTTCGCTTTTATATTTTGTTCTAATTCACAATATATGAACATTTTTAGTACAAATTTTTTATGGAATAAATGAATTTGTAATTAGTAGTGAACCTAAACAGTTAACTAATATAGAGATAATCATTTAGCAGCATATATTTACCTAATCTGACTATATACATAGTTTATTTATTTATTTATTTTAACACTTGGATATTGGTACAAGGAGGCACCAAATACATATGCGCCACACAAATCTCATTCGACATGTGTGAGGGCTGTGATACTGACCGGGTGCTCAAACCGAAACAGGCGGTTTTCTTAGGGGGCCACACCCTGAGCCTTCAACCTGAAAGTCTGATCCACAAAGCAGTGGAGCATCGTAAGGAGATGCAGTCACATGGTAGCCGGTAACCAACGATTGATTCATACGCCAATTGTTTCTTCAGGATATTGGAGCCCATGTGCACCAGTGGTTTGGAATCAGGGTTTTCCAACTCCCCGAGATGGACTCTCCATGTCCACCAACCCGGTTAAAGCGCCGGACATTCGCTTTTCGTCCTCTCAATTTCGTAAACAACACCCCTGCTACGAGAAGGCAATGAGTAGGACATCCCTGGCAGATTGATATACTGTACAACTGCCAATACAACTACTGCAAACGAACAATGTTTTTTTAATGATCTTGTTTCATATGGTGAGTTATCATTTTATCAGTAAGATTAATTAATTAGTAGATGGAAAGTACACAGACAGGCATAAGTAAGAAATCTTAAGAGTCTTTTAAAAGAAAAAAAAACAAACCGAAAGAAACCAATGTTAACAAAATAAATAAAGCATAATTATGGTAAATACTAGAGATCAGTTTTATTTGTTTATATTTTATGTTGATCTAATCAGATCTGATAAACAGTCTTGATGAACTGTACAATATGATGAAACAATTGATCCATTATCATTATGTTCCTATGGTTTGTCAGATGATTTTTAATCTTTTCAAAGATAAATATTATCAATGATTTTGAATAATTCTATGTAGAATTATGGATCATTGGATTTAAACAAGGTTGTCTAAATGTAACATACTCATTGTAAAACCATAATGTTCTGAATTTGATTTCTAACATGCCTAAAATTATGCGAGATTTTTTAATAGCTCTTCAATTATTTCTGGTTCATCATATAAGAAGTCATAAAATTGAACTGTTTTCCGTAACCAACAGAAAACAGTTAAACATTTGTTTCTTTGACAATTTAGTAAAATGTATGTTTAAAAGTCTGTCTTTGTTCAGTTATCAGCAGATATGAGTTATATTAGTAACTATGGTATTTATAGCACGAAGGGCTGTTACTTTAAATTAATGGAGGCTAACAAAAAATCTTTCAAAAGAGATTAACCTTTAGTGAAAATGTTCCTTCATAAGTAGTTTTAACCAGTTTAACCTTGCAGATTTTATAGTAAAGATGCAGAACAAATTTAGTCATCAAATAAATAGCTTATTCAGACTTGTGACTTGATTTTCTCATGTATGTGATTTAAGAGAAAACGATTGAATCAAAATGAATGAAGTTATATTTAAAGGCTGACGATATGCCTCATGACAATACTATCTGTTGATGTTAACAGTCGGATGAATGTATGTGCAGCTGCCTACTATGGACATGTTCACTACAAAGTCTGATATCCAGAATAAAAAAACGCAAATACGGTGAAAGTTAGATATTGAATTGAAATCTTTGCATGAAAATTACTTTCTAATATGCAGCATAAGCCCGCTAAATGAAGAAAAATTGATTGAGTGTACTGTTTAAGACATCCTTATTCAACGTGTCATGCTTGTCCGTTATATTGATCGCTCTTTTACGATATTAACTGAGAATCAATCGATTTCAAAGATGTAAGTCATCCTGGGAATAACACTAATAGTACACTGTACGACTCATCAGATATTTGTTTGACTTATGGACTTTCAAAAAAAAACTAATGAATTGTTCGCTTTACAGTAGTTCGTAATTGAATTTCACTTACAACATTGAAGTCGAATCCAAATGCAGAAAGTACAAACAACACCTTTAAATGACCATTTTTAGCAGCTTCGTGAGCGCTACTTTGTTTTTCTTTGTCACAAGAATTTAGATCTGCTCCCGCACGTAATGCTGCTGTAACTGAGATACTACTACCTGTTCCACATGCTTCTAAAAATGAAGTTTTGCCATTTTTCTAAAGTATAATGTAAATAAATACAGAAATAATACGGTATGAATTATTGAGATTCCCCTTTTTAGTATGAAGTAATAGACTTCCAATTAAGCTAAGACGATTTCCTCCTACAAAGTTTATGGTAGAGATTACATAGTCAACATAAATAGGTTATTATGCGTTCGGTTGGAAAATTAGGAAGAAATATAAACAAGATTTATTAGACTGTTTGTCAAGATTCTTTTCACTTGAAGAAACATTACATCGTAGATCGACAAGGGCTAGGAAATGTTTTAGAAAAAAAACTGCGAAGCACAGGATGTATGACTCTTCATGAAATCCAGTTCTAAAATTTGATCACTTGTAACATACATTTCATCAGTTAAGCAAAAGATTATGTTAAACTACTGCTATATTCCGAAATATAAAGCATATACGGACTAATGTAAGCTAACTTGAATAAAAATAAAGAGAATTTGGGGATGAGAATTTGCTTTGTTTTCTACGAAATTATTTGCTCAAGTTGTACATTCGTATTTATGGCTGTTTGATAAATATATGAGTCTGTAGAAGAATAGAAAGAGAATATATAATAATGTTATTCGAGGTGTCAAATATATAGAAAAAAGTTGTGAAGATGAAATCAATTTACGGTTAAGAAAGATGGGAGGTAATTGTCCACTTAACAGATATGGAGAGAAAACAAAAAACCTAAAAGTCATAACAGCAATTGAATAATAATTATGAAAAGTTGTTAGAGGATAGTAATAATAATAATGTCATTGAAATTACAAAGCAACCTAAGTTAGATAACCGCTGAAAACCCGGAAACACTAGATGACCGTTTCATCCTAGGACAGACTAAACAACAGTGCGTATTCACGACTCTGCATCCAAGAATTGAACCCAGGACCTTTATACTTATACCAAAACACCTAACTGTTGAATTAATAAGCTAAAATTCAGGATAAAAGCTATACTGGTACACCTAAAGACTAACAATCCTGTATTTTAACACATTTTTGTAGTGAAAATGAGCTTAAGCTAAACACCTCACCAGTAAAAAACAAGTCCCAATTTTAAAGAATTACAGCTAATAGAAAGTTCAAAATGTCAATTGTTTTCCAATGGCGACAGTTATGTATACTAATATTTTATCACTGAAAGCTGGCTAATCCACATAATAGGCTCCCATTTGGTGAAAGTGACAGTAATTTTACATAATCAGCCTAGTAACACCCAATAAATTCAGCTTATGATGATCTGAACTATGTATATGTGAGATCTCTTAGGAAGTACAAACCATGAACTATTGAGTAATTCTACCACATAATGACATGAAGTACAGTCTACCTTGACGTATCTCAATAATAAAGCTGGAAACAGGTCACAACAAACACAAACTCTGATTGATACAGGCATTTCATCAATCTATAAAATGTTTTGCTGATTTTTCCTTCATTCAATTAAGTCATTAGTTATCCTCTAAGAACTCATAAATTTAAAAATTCAGCCCTTTAAAGCATCAGATATAAGAGCAGCACAAGGATTATCTCAGTGAGCTCGTTCTTAATTTTTTCAATAAAACGTTTTGTAGTGAGTTCTGGCACTTCTCAGTGCTACTTTCTCAAGACGGTCTGATCACTTCACAGAATTTTCTCCGTGTTGGATTTCTTCTTATGCTTAGAATATTCTGGTCTATTGAAACAATAATTCATCAAACGAAGCTTACGATTTTGTAATCATTTTATAAGCATATCGTTTTACTGAGAATTTTGAAGTGGATCAAGTCGAATATTTAGACAGAAGCTTTTGCCTTTGGATGTGACCGTGCGCAGAAAACAAAGAAATGAAACCATTATAGTTATTTAAATCTGAGGAGAGGGATTCATTTCCGGAATATCGAACTTCATCTTGAATAGTATAAAAAAACTAACTCGAGACAATTCAGTATAACATGTCCATTGTACGGAAATAAATAAGTGGCGAGTTACACGAATAACATACCGAATAAATGTTTGGATTAGCGCCATGGTTCAGTAATTCAAGAATGAACTTCTCATTTTCAATAGATCTTTTACATGCAACGTGCAATGCTGTTTGTCCATCAAGGTCCTGTTTATTAATGAGCATACTTTTGTCTAGTAATAAGCCTAAGCATTTCAAATGCTCATCGGTTGGTGAAATACAATAGAATAATGCGGCTAAAAGCAATGACCATAAACTAGTTGAAATTACTTCTTTCATTGAAATCAATTGCATTCCTGTTGGCACCTTTGTCAAGCAATTTCTGTAAGATATTCACGTTTCCAAGTTCAGCTGCCGTCATTAGGGCAGTTTTACCATCAAAATCTACTATGTCTATGCATGCGCCATTCAAAAGAAGAAACTAAAACGTCATTTACAAGGTTTACTTTATTACTTCAATTGTGTAAATGTCATCCGACTTGACGGCTGAAATTACAGCCGTTGCACCATTATCTGGATCATTATAATTGATAAGATTCGGCACCCCATGTTCAATCAACTTCTTTATTTGGTCGACGTCTTTACTATTTACACACTGAAGAAGCTTCCTTATCTGTAAACGTTCTAATCGAGAATTGGCTATTGGCATATGACGTAACGCTCAGTTAATTATTTGTAATGAAGCTCCCAAAAATGTTATTTAAAAATATTTACTAGTAAAAATTCAAAACATCAAAAAAGCCAAAAACCAAAATGAGAAAAATAAACTGTTATTTTACAAGGAACAATTATGATAAACTTGAAGTACACAAATGAGCATGACCTGACTTAGATAAATATGTAAGATAGACAAATAAAGGTCATCTGTTATTTAAGCCTTCCGTACGTACAAGTTAATTTGAGAGTAGTCAGAGATGCAAAGGTTTGTTTTATTTCTTGTTTGATGTGTTTATCAGTTCCTGTGTTTTCATGACTATTTCAGAGTCAGTTTGTCATTCGACAGTTTATTTATCATCCAAGAGTTATATTTAAATAATTATTAAAGTTACTTTTACCAATATTCCAGATTGCACATACTTGAGCTTTAATTGCCTTAAATGCAACTACAAATTTTACAGGAGTAAAGTTCTATATTTGTATAAAATACGTAATAGGAAGTTTGTGGAATAATTTTATTAACTGGACTAAGATTTTTAGATGTCACAATATACTTACTCTCATAAAGCAAAGTGAGAATCAGTTTAGCAAACGTTTGCTTTATAAAAATATAAATTAATTACTACTTATACGAAAAAACAGGATTTTTGTACATTGGCATTTAGAATTACTGATTTTTATTTTTCAAGATACTAAGAGTTCTGTATCCTAACATAAATGCAGTCAAAATATTCAAAGTTATAGGATTGAATGTGTTCTAAAATATTTCACGTAAATGTTCCTTATTTTTAATATGAAGAACAACTCGTAACTGACAAAACAGTTTCAAACAGCCATTAAAGTTGCCTCTGTATTTCATTTCAAAAGCACATCATACATTTTCGTCGAAGCTAAAGATGGTGTGTAAAATGATGTGAGAAACATGTTACTCATCGCCGACTGAACTTCTAATAGAATAACAACTTTAAATTGTACTTGACTCTTTTAGTCATGTGCATAAACATTTACTAGTTATCAGATTTCGTCAAAGATGAAATAATTCAAGGTTGTTAAGAATCTGTGGTGTCTGAATAAAATGATAATTGATTAACAAGTTATCACGCTCTTAATTCTAAATCTAAAAATACCCTCATGTGCATATATAGCCTTATCCTGTTCTGAAAGTCTGGTTTATTTGTGGCTACTTAATTATGCTTTTGGCGCATCCGAGAGTTTTGACCACGCATAAAACATTTAATAATTACTTACATTATGTTCTTACGATATGAATCCGTGTTAGGATACTTAAGTAAACTTTTAATACCAGATTGTCAAGCATTGCTATCTGGTGTCCTTATTAAAAATTCTATTAACTTGTCTAAGGAATGAATTTTCAGCCTCAGCGTAGACACAATCACTGTGAATGACATATCTTTGAAATGAAAGTATGAAATTATTACAACTCTTATTAAATAGTATAAAAAGCATAGCAGATACGTACAATCACCGTTTTTAAATTCATTAGTATTGTAAATAACACACCATTTGTAGTCCACTGAAAAATAGATAGCACCACTTAAATACATAGACCGCTAGACCGTATTATTATATAACAGCTTTTAAACCTTGCTGTTGATTAATATTTCAAGGGATTTCTTGAGAATCCATCAAGCCAGTAGACTGCAAAGTTTTTGCAGACACGTGTCAAGTATAAACTAAGTACTAATCAGATTCGTAAAACCAACTTACCAACTCAAATTTACTTTCTGACCGGATATACTTCAAGTTTATCAAAAGTGTCTACCAGGTGTGTTAATTTCTAAATATACGTAACAGAATTAAAAGCACATGTTTTTAATCCTTAAGACATTTCGTTACTCCATGAAACACGCGTTTTAGTAAGTAAAAACCGTTGTAGAGTGAGGTCGCCAACCCGTAAGTAGATTAAGACTATCCACACATATTACGTACATTGACGATCTATAACATTTACACTATTTAAAGTTATGGCATACTTTATAAACTCTGTTGTGCAATGCTTTAAACTTACTACAACGTTAAGTTCTGTTATTCACTGTTTGTCCTAAATTTAGAAAACATTTTTTGAATTATTTGAGCAGTTACAAAACCAATGCTGTACTGTTCAACCATAGTAAGTGCAGTCATCAATATTTTAATTTTTTAAATAATTTAGCTTAAAAACTTCCTATAGGCAGAGATGAATTTTGGCCAACAGTGAAATCCAGAACACGCGTTTCGTCCTACTTGGAGCTCGCCAGACGTGTATACTGATAAATTGTACTCCTCAGCCATCAATAAAAAGGACCCAAGCAACCAATATAAAATGCATTCGATTGATTATAGTGTCTTAAATTTTGCATAAACGTTGGTTTTAAATAAACAAGAAGAAATATTTTTAGCATGAATTCTAATTCATTAGATGCCGTCTATTCTAGATTGATGAAAATAGATCTATACTTATTATTCAAAAAAGCAGTAGTAAGGTGTATGACACATATCAGTAAACTTTAGCACACTACTGCCTTAGAAGTCGTTACATTTTTTTGCGCTGACGATAAAACAAGCCACAGGATCAACCCTGGCGGTGTTGTTGAACATTCCGCTCAAAAATGAGCTCCAAAACTAATATATTAGATTAAGTGTGAGCTTGCTAGATATGAAATTGTTTGCTCATCTATTTCAAAACAATAAAACCATAGATTATTTATAGTTGCGTTTCCAACCACCAAAAATTGGTTCTCGTTAATATATTCGACCACATTGTAGTCACACTCACACATTAAATTGTTAACACTATCCGACGCATCCTAGAGCATGTATTCCCCCATATCTGTATTGTAATATCTGCCTATGTCCAAATATTGATTCCCTATTTACTTGTTATAGATAATTCAAGTCAATTATAATGAGAAATATGCTTCAATCCTTCTCTGCTTGTTTTCATGGTTATCTTTTAGTATACAATTGCTTGAAATACATATTATTGCGGTAAATTTTGAACAAGAAAAATTATATCAAAAATGCATAAAAGAGTCAGTCGAAGTTCTGTAAATAAAATCAGATAGTTAAGTATTACCATTGCAGTCAACAAATAGCTACGAATTTAAAATAACATTACGAATGAGAATTCACACGCAAACCATCTCTTATATTAAATCAAAAATTATTTGTAGTCAGTTGATAACTAATATTGGAAGCTTTTTGATATATTTCAAACTGAATATTTATATTCTAAAGGAATATAATCTAATAATGTTTATCTTATTATTAAGCAATCATCATTGTACGGATATAGATTTCATACGTACGATGATATAGACGAAAATAATAAAGGTGATTAAAGCGCATTAAATACCAAGGCGAATATGGAAAGTAAGGTTCAGGTCAAGAAGTATCAAAATTAAAATCGTACCACTAATTATCATGAAAACATATGCCATGTGACAGATTAAAACAAACATTAAAAAAATTTAAACGTTAGTTACTTTTACAAATAGTGGACAAAAAGTTATTCTTACGATAATTATTGCGATGTAAATGTCGTATATCTTCTACAAATGTCTATAATAATTATAGACTTCACCAAATAATTTTTTATGCTGTAAATATATACGCGCTCGTTTAAAAAAGGGCAGTGATTTTTGTACTTGTTGTGATTATACTTGCTTTGGGTGCTTATTGCACTAAAAAGCATTCTTGGTCTACTTTATCTAAAAGAACTTGGTTAAAGTTTGAAATGTTTTGCTAAATTTTGTCCTGAGTATCTTTTTTTACGTTTTGACTACTACTTGTGTTCACATTGTGATCGTTTTGTGTTTTTAAACCTTTTAAATCAAATTACAATGTTTGGTAAGACTCAAAAATGTGTGCAACCAAATTGTTTGTTCTCCGTTGAGGAGGGAATGCAGTATGACGATTGTAAAAATTGGTACCACAAAATGTGTACACAACTAAGTCCGACGGCTTACAAAAGATGCTCGAAGCCTAACTAGCATTGGCTTTGTATGTTCTGCTGTACGGATAAAAAGGTACTAATTCAGGAGGCTATGGGCCTATTGGCTTTGGCCTGCAAGAAAAACGATGGCGGAAGCACTGATAACAAGAGCGCTGACGGTGAAGAATGTGTCAGTGTAGTAAGTGCTGCTACTGGATCCGTTAAACACCTGGCTGCGGTTGACGGGAACGTGAAGTCTTCGTTGACAATAACGAGGAATGAAGTGTCGCTTGATATTGACATCGGCAGTCATAAACCTCTAGTCGAAATAGAAGATCCGGATAAAACTGTCACCGTTCCACATAGTCCAAGTATGGCTGTCCTGAGTGGTGACAAATGGACTTCAGTAACGAGAAAAAGAATTGGGAAGAAAAAGGCTGTAGGCAAAACCCAGCTGGTCAGCAAGGCGTTGGAAGGGATGTTATCAGAAGAAAAATCCTCACCGCGTGACAAGACAGATCTATCTCAGAGATCAGTCATTTTTCATAACATAAGAGAATCTTCAGATTAAGAATCAAATGCGAGATTTGAACACGATCTCAATCATATTATGACATCATTAAGTAAACTACTTCCAGATACAGTTTCAGGAGTTAGTATCTGTAAGCTTTATAGAATAGGAGAAAAGGTGGATTCTGAAAGTCCTCAGAAAAACCGCCTCCTAAAGGTTACATTTAACACGGTGGAAGAAAGGAACCTGATTCTAAGTAATTCACGTAAACTGATTGGATCCGAAATATATGTCCGTGAGGATCTCATCCTAGCTGATCGTATTAAGAGACGAGATGCAGAAGCGGAAATAAATGAGCGTCGCCAAAACGGTGAAAGAAACCCCGTTCTTAAGGGTTTTCAAATTGTGAAAGTTCGGAGCCAAACGATCCACAAACCACTCTGGGTGGTAAGGGAAAGCTCTCCACAGACTTAAAGGTATGCTACACAAATGCTCGCAGCCTTCTCAATAAAATGGCAGACCTCAAGTCAATGGTGGATAAAGAAAAACCGGACGTTATTGCTGTCTCGGGAACTTGGTTAACGTCAGAATTATTAGATAGTGCCAACGGCAAGATATTGAAGTAGTTGTAGTATATCGCATTCCAGAATGTGTAGCAGATGATTTTCTCCTAAGTAAACTGAAGTCCTGGTGTAACAACGGTAAAAGTCTTGTAGTAGGCGACTTTAATTCACCATATATAAACTGGGTTAACTTAGAAGTAGGGTCATCGATATCGTCGTTCGACTGCAAACTGTTAGAAACCTCGATTGAACTAGCATTATTCCAACACACTTGAGATCCCACAAGATACGACTTAAGAAACTCTTCTTCTCTTTTAGATTTAGTCTTCACACACGATGATGACTTTGGTCAAATGGCTTTTCTCCCACCACTTCGGAGAAGTGACAATGCAGTCATCTTATTCAAATTCATGGCTGAGATTGCCTGAGATTGCACCGGCCCGTCCTAACATATGGAATGCAGATATGCAGGCACTTAATTCCGCAGCATCGGCTGAAAACTGGGAAATTGACTCAAAGGCATCAGTACAAGAGGCGTGGACTCTATTCAGTCAGTTATACAATCGGATAACTCAACCATACATACCCTGGACTGTCCCAAAGAAAAAGAAGCAAGGACATCCGTGGATAGGGCGGGATACTCGATGCTTACTAAGACAAAAGAAGAAATGCTGGGATGTTGCCATCCACCTTGGCACAGCAGGTACGATGGAACGCTACAGATCGATAAGGAACGTGTATATCAAAAATTCGGGAAGCTCAAAGAAAATATGAAATGCAGCTGGCACAATCTGCACTCAAGCAGCCCAAGAGAATATTCTCGTACATAAACTACAGAACAAGGATGCATCATTGGATTCCCAACTTAATTAAAGTAGAAAGTGAATCCGAAATGATAGAGGAAGATCAGTAAAAAGCAGAGGCTATGGCTGACTATTTTGGGGCAGTTTTCACTCAGGAACCTCCTCTAGAGAAAGAACCAGACCCAAATACAGAGTCAACAAACCAGCTGCTCACCGTTGACTTCAACCAAAACGATGTGCTTAAGGCTCTTAGCACCCTAAACATGGAGAAGTCAACAGGACCAGATGAACTACACCCCAAAATCTTGAGACATATTGCCAAATATATCGCGGCCTCACTGACTGTGATATTCAATATGTCACTTGACCAAGGTGTGTTACCTATGGACTGGAAGGACGTAGTCGTCACTCCCATACATAAAACAGGTCCACGACAAGTTCCATCGAATTACAGACCCGTAAGTCTCACCAGTGTTTTAATTAAAATACTGGAAAGAATAATCAAACGGACCATAACGGCATTTATGGAAACCAATAACTTGCTGAACATGGTACAACATGATTTTAGAAAGGGTCTATCCTGTACAACGAACCTCCTTTTAGCCAGGGAGTTCTGGATTAATGCTCTAGACAACGGAAACTCAGTGGATGTTGTCTACATAGATTTCAGTAAGGCTTTTGACAAGGTGCCAACTAATAGACTGCTATTAAAGTTGGAAGACCTTGGTATTGCCGAACCCCTTTTAAAATGGATTAAGAATTTCCTAGTAGGTCGTAGACAAAAAGTAAGAATAAATTCCAAGTGCTCCATCTGGAGACCAGTACTAAGTGGAGTACCCCAAGGTTCCGTCCTAGGTCCTTTACTTTTTATAATGTACTTTAATGATCTTACAAGTATAGTACAGTCCCCAATGTTATTATACGCTGATGATGTAAAAATTTGGCGAGTAGTAACTGGAGACAAAGACGCATTTACTCTTCAGGCAGACTTAAATAATATGATAAACTGGTCTAAGGAGTGGCTGATGCCTATCAACTCGGTAAAGTGTGTCTACATGCACTTGGGGGATTCAAAGGTTAATACGTACAACAAAGGGGTGTGTCATTACCAGTAGTCCGGTCTCATAAGGATCTAGGGGTGACAGTGAGTAATGATCTTAAGACGACGGCTCATTGCCAGGAGGTTGCAGCCAAGGGGTTTCGAACCCCCTGGACTTTAAAAAGGACATTCACTAAGTTGGATACTACCATGTTTACCACAGTATACACATCCTTAGTGAAAACTAAGCTAGAGAACTGCGTCCAGGCTGTAAACCCCTGCTTAAAAGGTGACTCGGACATACTAGAAAAAGTACAAAGTGCAGCTAGCCGTGCAATTCCGGAATTCCGGGGTTTTTCATACAAAGAGCGGCTTGAAAAACTAGACCTCTTTACTCTGTCCTATCGCAGACTAAGGGGAGATCTAATTGTGATCTACAGAATACTGAGAAATGATTTCGGACCTAACTTATTCTCTCTCTTTCTTTGCATCAGATCGGGACATCTCAGAGGACATAGCAGGCGAGTAGAGAAGCCAAGAACGAACAAAATACCCGTGGTATACAGGTTTTCACACCGAGTCATCAATAATTGGAACCTGCCGCCTGAAGCAGGGGTGTCCGCACCTTCAATTGACGCTTTCAAGAGAAGACTGGACACTTACAGAAGCATACTAGAAAAGGAATAACATAGGCCGTAGGCCTTCTCTCCTTACTACACAAATCTTAATCTGAAATCTGAAATCTGAATATATAAAACTCCACTGATCAGACTATGTCTTTGAGGTGCCGCGTAGATCCTAATCAATACATTACACACTTCCCGTCCCTCACTGCATACGTATTGGATCCAAACATTTGTAGCTCTATTAATAATTTATGTACACATCTGTGGCCCATTATTCCACGAGAAACGAATAAGCATTAACAAAATACTTTGAAGTACTATTTCGCCTCAATTCGGGAGAACAGAGTTATCGATAGAAATCTCGAAAAAAGTCCCTTTACGTACATCAATTATTACCTCAGAATCTGTCAATACTGAGACATTTCTAGACTGATAACTTTTGCAAGTTGTTAATAGAAATGGTGAACAATAATCTGAATATTCGTCAAGATGACGTGCTGACAGGAGAACTCCGTCATGAATTCTGCATATACTGCTAGTATGCTACATAGAAGACCTGACTGAATCTGCTAGTGCTTGTGTGTGAACTATTTACGACTGGAATTACATCACATGTTCCCGTCATTTACCACAAGAATCAATGAGATCCGTTATCTGTACTCCTACACTTGACGTTCTATTATTAATCAACCCTTCCGTTGCTGTAGCACACTCCTTGACAGCTAAAATGCTCACTCCTCACATATTTTGGAGTGATAATTTCCTAGTCTTTTGCCTTAGTCTGTGATTCAGAATGTCAAAACATTATGACCAGAAGTAAAGTGCTTTTCTATTATTTCTATTCTTGCTGTTATTCAGTGGCCAATATGAGCAGTGTGAGACTTTTCTGGGCACATTCGCTTTCATTTATCAGATGAGTGTTGTATGTAATAGCGTAGTT